GTCTCTCACCCTTGTTGGCTCTCAGGTTGATCCTGCAGCGTTCTGCTCCGACGGCGTTGTTCACCTCACACAGGTAGACGCCGGCGGAGCTTTGAGAGTGGTTCCTGATCCTCAGCTCTCCGCTCACACTGACTGAGGAAACCAGCAAAAGAACAACACTTTATTTAAAACATTCCATTATTACAACCATCTTCACTTTCATTTTCATTTCATTCTACAAAATATTCAACTGAATCAATAAATAAAGCTGTAAAACTGTTGTTGTGTTAGATGTAGTTTTATTATTTTGAGAGTGACAAGTAAAGAGCAGAGGTGTATAAAGTACTTAAATAAGTAAAAGTAAAAATGTCTTAACWGAAAGTGACTGAGAAAAATGAATTTCACAGCTGAGAAAAGTACTAATTGTTTTAGCACACAAAGAGGAAGAATTCTCTTCTTGGTTCCTTTGTTTTAGTTGGGTGAAAACAATGGAGGTAGATATTCTGGAAAACATRATTTAGCTCTGAGGAAACAACAGTTCTGTCTGTAAGAACTCAATAAAACCTGAGTCATAATAAAGAATGACTGAGCTGCTGTCTGCCTGAAAACAAAAAGAAACTGTTTTCTGTAAAAATGACTAAAACTGTCCAGTCTGTCTTAAATAAAAAATAAATTCAATTCAATTCAGTTCAATTAAAAAACTCCATTCCTTTCTTTAAAACAAATTATATGCACAGTAAAAAAAATACAATGAAGTACTTCACATTTCTTCAATAATTCCACTTTTATCATTCTCTTGTACATTGATCTGGCATTTTTAACATCATTTTCCAGATTATTCCATAATCTCACTCCTTGGATTGAGGTAAACCGTTCTTTCAAACTGGTTCTAAATTTAAGTTTCATGAACATCTTTATCCCCTTAAGGTTATTAAATGAAAAAAAAAAAGAAAATACAAGTAAAGTGTCTTGTGTAAATATAATTTATAACCAAAAAAAAAACTTCTCCACAATTTAGCACCATTAATACAGACTGGTTGCTCAGTAAATCAATCGTATCAGCTTTACAATGACTGCACAAAATGTGGTACAATTAACTTTAAATTAAAAAAAATTAAACAAATGTTTTTATTTTCAATGAGACACAGTAAAAGAACAGTGGTAAAACAGATCACTGGTACGTAAACAAAAACATAAGTCCAGTTTTATTACATTAACTCGACTTGCTTTAGTGGAACCAGTTGACTAAATATGGGTAAATAAATTCAACTCTTCATTTTTAGAGTGCAGAAACAACTCCTTTCATGATGAGTTCAGGTCATATTAAATTTGTAACGTGTAACCAGGTGTTAAATTTTAACGTACAAAGGTAAAAACTTTTAGGTTTTTGAATGTAACGAAGAAAACAATGTTACGATTTAAAAATATGAAACTGGTAAAATTACAGATTCTCAACAAAATTACTCAATTACCAAGACTGTTGTTACTGGTTTTAAGGCTGTCATTATTGATTTTAAGGCTGTTCATATTGATTTTAAGGCTGTTCTTACTGATTTTAAGGCTGTTCTTATTGATTTTAAGGCTGTTCTTACAGATTTTAAGGCTGTTCTTACTGATTTTAAGGCTGTTCTTATTGAATTTAAGGCTGTTCTTATTGATTTTAAGGCTGTTCTTACAGATTTTAAGGCTGTTCTTATTGATTTTAAGGCTGTTCTTACTGATTTTGAGGCTGTTATTACTGATTTTAAGGGTGTTCTTACTGATTTTAAGGCTGCTATTACTGATTTTAAGACTGTTCTTACTGATTTTAAGGCTGTTCTTACTGATTTTAAGACTGTTCTTACTGATTTTAAGGCTGTTCTTACTGTTTTTAAGGCTGTTCTTACTGATTTTAAGGCTGCTATTACTGATTTTAAGACTGTTCTTACTGATTTTAAGGCTGTTCTTACTGATTTTAAGACTGTTCTTACTGATTTTAAGACTGTTCTTTCTGATTTTAAGGCTGTTATTACTGATTTTAAGGCTGCTATTACTGATTTTAAGGCTGTTCTTACTGATTTTAAGGCTGTTATTACTGATTTTAAGGGTGTTCTTACTGATTTTAAGGGTGTTCTTACTGATTTTAAGACTGTTCTTACTGATTTTAAG